GGCGTCCGGAGCGGCCCCAGCCCCGGTCCCGGTCCGGGTCCTGCTGGTGCTGCTGGCGGCCGCCGCCCGCCCTGCCGCTTCCTGGGACCTGTGGGCGCTGCGCTGCGGCTTCTCGGCAGACTGCGAGTGCGGCTTCGGGCCCGATCTGCGCGGTCAGCGGGAGCGGCCGGCCGGGAAGGGGGTCTGGGGGCAGGGGGACGCCGGGGGCGGGGGGCGCGCAGCCGCCGAGGCCGGGAGGCAGCAGGTGAGGGGATCCCGGGAGCCAGCTCTCCAGGAGAGCCTTCCTGGGGGCGTCACTTGGAGCGGGGTCTCTCGGCTGTGGGACAGTCGGGGATGACGGGGCCCAGCGGGGCGGCCCCAGGGACGGGACGGGCGATGATAGCCCGCGTTGTCCAAATCCTGGTTTCGCTTCCTTTCAGGTCTGGAGTTTGACTTGGCCACGAATCTGGTGGGGCAGCCCCTGGTCAGGCAGCAAGTGATGAAGGGGGTGAGGGAGTTCCTGGAGAACCCGAATCCAGTGAAACCTCTCGTGATGTCTTTCCACGGCTCGACAGGAACAGGCAAAACCTTCGTGAGCTCCATGCTCATCCGCTACCTCTTCCAGAGGGGGCTGCAGAGCCCCTATGTTCACCACTTCTCCCCCATAGTGCATTTCCCCCATGCTGAGCAGATAGAGCAGTACAAGGTAAGGGACGCCGCACAGCAGTGCCACTTAACTGGAGGGTTTGGGCTATGTCTGTCTTGATCCTCAGTATATATGCATTCGAGCTGTTTCCCGAAGTGCAGTAGGAATAAAAACTCTTTGTTTTACCCTTTCAGACAACACAGCTGAGTGAGTGGCTCCATACACTGGCCGAAGGGTCCACTAGTAACCGCTATATACTCAGTTATTACTTTCATCCTCTCCACAGCAGTCCTTGCCCTGATCATATTCTCATTCTTAAATATTTACACAGCTCTTTGACCGCATAAACAAAAGTGCTTGGCTTAGATAAAAGGCACTAAAAATTTCCCATTGCTTTCCAAACAGCCTGATGGCTGTAAAAACCTGCATATCACTAGACTTGTAATCCCCTCCTCACAGAGCACACAGCTTCCTAACAGCAGGTCCAGACTCTCCATGGTGCCATTCTGTGTCTTAGAGCTGAGAAAAGAGAGAAATCAAAATGCCAGATTCTCAGCAGAGTGGGGATTCAGCACACCTGGACCTTTATTTTCTGGGTGTTTGGAGAAGTTATTTGTTGTATTGTGTCCTTAGAGGAAATGCTTTTGAAAAAGTAAATCCCTTCCTAGCTGAAGTGCTTCAGTTAGGAGTTACACATGCCTCCAGGCAATGTGAGTGGTTTTGTGTGGGCTGGGAAGTATCTTCAGCCATGATAAAGAGCTGTTCTGGGTCAGCGCAGGCACATGTTTCTGCATCAGAACAGGAGCTGGCAAGAAGCTGGGAACTGTGTAGATACAACAGGGAACGACAAGAACATGGGGAGCTGTAGGAGTCTAAATCTCCAGCTTTAGTGTGCTGCCTCCTCCTTTAAATCTGTAATAAAATACCTACAGTGGTCTAAAAAACTGGTAAACAGCCACTGTGTGAAAGCTAGAATAAAGGGGCCTCCCCAGCACTGGGTCTTTGAGCTCCAAGTGTGTGGTGCTGCTCTCAGCACCTTTAGCTCTGCTTGAGCTCCTGCCTCAGCCTTCACTCCGTGGTGCTTGAGCCTTCCTTGCCATCTCGCTGCCTTACAGCTTGGTGGGTGTTTTTCCTAGGAAAGCCTGAAGCGCTGGATCCAAGGGAACTTGACAAACTGTGGGCGGTCAGCATTTCTCTTTGATGAGATGGACAAGATGCACCCAGGCCTGATTGATGTGATCATCCCCTTCCTGGGACCCTCATGGGTTGTGTACGGGACCAACTACCGCAAAGCCATCTTCATCTTCATCAGGTGAGAGAGGCCTCTCCATGGGGCCTTCCAGCTCACTGCTGCTCATTTGGGCAGAGGTCACACCTACTTCAGGCAGGGCACACACTTGTTTTGCCTTTCCTTCTCCAGGCCTTGAGCCTCTACAAATACCAAGAGATGCTGTCTCACTGTGAACAGACAGATCTGGAGAGTGTGAAAAAGCCTCGTCTGCATGTTATTTGGCTGCCTCTACAGGAGTTATTTTGGGCCAGGCAGCTGGGAGCTGCTGGCTTGCACTCTGCAAGCTGGTGGGTGTCAGGTGCCACCTGAGACATAATTTTCCTGGGTACACACTGGATAAGCCTCTCATTCTTGTGCAGCAATGCAGGAGGGGAGCAGATCAACAACGTGACATTGGCTCTGTGGTATGCCCGCAAGGACCGGGAGGAAATCAGCTTGCAGGACCTGGAGCCAGCCATCTCCAAGGCCGTGTTTGAAAACCCTCAGAGTGAGTCCATGGAGCTGAGCTCCTCCTGTAGCCCCACAGCCCAGCACAGGCAGCCAGGCCTGTTCTAGAAGCCATACACACCACTTGCCACCTACCAAGTGGCCAGAAAGGGACAAGGGGGATTTGAGGGATTGGAACTGCGATCCCCTTGAGGTTTCCTGGCAAAGGGAACCAGCTTCTGAGCCAGCAGACCTGTTGCCATATTTAGCAAAGTTCTTTGGAGACAAGGTGTGTTTGCAGCTGGGGGCTGGCAGGCAACACAGCACACTTGCCAGAACAGCACTGAGCTATATCGATCCCCACTGCCTGCCAGATCGCCTTGCTTTGCCCTTAGCACAGGGAGCAGAGCTTAAATTCTGACTAGACAAGCTAAATCCCCCATTCCTGGAGAACAAGTCTGTTTGGGGGGGAAGTGACAACTGATGAGTTCAACCCTCTCCTTGTACAAAACCAGCAAGATCTCTCTTCAGCAGAGTATTTTGGCTTCACACAAAGCATCTCTTTGAATTGCAGGGACTGCAGAGACTCTCTGAAGGTAAAACCTTCTCTTCCTTTCCTTGTGCAGGTGGCTTCTGGAAATCTGGGATCATTAATGAACATCTTATTGATTTTGTTGTGCCTTTCCTCCCACTGAAGCACCACCACGTAAAGCAGTGCGTCATCAGCGAGCTTCTCCAGCAAGGTCTCGAGGTACGCCCAGGTGTCGTCCAGGAAGTGGCTGACAGCATCCCCTACTTCCCCGAAGAAGAGAAATTATTCTCATCAACAGGCTGCAAAACAGTGGCCTCTCGTATCAGTTTTTTCTTCTAGTCACTGGCAAGGGCCTCTCTCACATCCATATGGAGCTAAGAAAGCACCCAGGGCTAAGAGGATGAGCAGTGGGAATGGTGTGTCACTCTTCACAGCACAAGTGCTCTCCTGCTGAACTCTCTCCAGCCCTAAGGAGTCCAATGCAGGATATAGCTGCAGGACCAGGTGCAAATTATGTGATTTAAAGCACTTTACTGATTCACTCTTGGCCAGGTAAGGGTGGATCCACCACCTGAGACATCTGTGATGACATGAGGAAGATGCTGAGAGGGTCTGCAGTGTCAGGGAGGTTCTCACCCTCTCAGCAGCACCCACCTGCATCTCTCCCCACTTCTGGCAGCTGTTGATACCCAATACGTTAAGATTCTGAGCCCACAGAAGAACATTTCTTTCTTGCAGCATTTTAACAGTTTTTTTTAAACCTTTTCAAGCATAGCTGTGCCTCAGCTCCTTGGCACAAGGGTGCTGACTCCTGTAAACACCTCAACATGGCAACAAAGTTTTATTTTCAAGGAAGTTTTACAGCCACCCACATTCCAGTTTCATTTCACTGTGAATAGGTGCTGGTAGGGACCAGCTTCAACACCAAATGATGGGAGTAATGTGGGAGAGGGCAAAACCTGATCTGCCATGAGCCAGGTTCCCTTACCACCCCTTCATCCATCTTTCCCCTAAGGGCCAAAGGATTTCCCTGTAGCAAACCAGGAAAACAACAAAAGACTTCTTGCTTGTTTTACCAGCCATGAAGAATCTCATCCTACCTCCAGGGGAGCCCACAGTGCTGCTAACGGTTTTGAAAATTCCTTTTATTCAGTGATGGTTTCTACAGCAGAGTTGGTGCTATGAGCTGTGGAGCTTCTTGTACATCCTTCTGCTGGTCAGACCTTTCAGGCTTTGGCTGTGCCAGCACCCGTTCAGCTTCTGGGGAGTGTCACAATGGGGGACCTGGGGACAAGTTAGAGAAGATTAATGCTCCAGACTGCCAAGCATGGGATGTACAGCCTGGCTTTTGTCCAGATTTTAATATCCTGTGCTGCTATGGAACAAGAGGTCAGAGGAACCAGAGTCATTCACTCACTAGGAACAACCTGCTTAAGAGATGGATGTGGGGACACTTTGCAAAGCTTCCAAAGCTCGGCTTGTTCCCTGTACGGAAATGAGCTGCCAGTGGACCATTCCAGTTCCAGGCCCTTGAGCTTTGGGGATTTTAGACACCACCCAAAGGCTGCTTAAGAGCTGGCCCAAAGACAGAAGCAAAAATTCTGCCTCTTCCAAATATATAATGCATTTCTAATTTTAAAATAAATCTTTTAAGAATTAAACAGTTGAGATCTTTACATGGATTCCTGACTGCAGGTAGTGTGGAAGGATTTGGAAGATGAGCAATTTCACAGTGATGTGCTCCTGGGCTGGGGAACTGTCACAGTGCCCTGAAAGAAAGCTCTGCCCTGCTGGTAGGGTAAGGACCCACCCAGGGCTGAAGGATAGCTTCGGGGAAAGTGAGGAATGATGCGTTCCCCCATCCAGCCGTATCCCAAGGGCCGGCACGTCAGTGGAGACGGAACAGGCACAAACACACAAAGGACGGGGACCAGTCCTGCCTGGGCATTCCCCTCTGGGACCCTCTGCGGAGCTTCTCCCGGCTCGAAGCGGTTCCCAGGCCGCGGCCCCCAGTAACGCCCTGTTAACGCACCTCCCCACCACGACTGCCTCTAGGACGAGCCGGCCCGCGGGGCATTACCACAGCGGCGACACCGCCCCTGACACCGACACCGCCCGCTAGAAAGATGGCGGCGCTGCCCGTAACCAAGATGGCGGTGGGGGCGAGGCCACGTGGGCAGGACGTTGGGCGGCGCGGGGGAGTGACGTCACGCGGGCAGGAGGGCGATGCTGGCGGCGGAGGTGGCGGGGAGCGCGCGAGCGCTCGTGAAGCGGGCGGGGCCGCGCGCCATGGTGAGCGCGGGGGAGGAGGGAGCGGGGGCAGCGAGGCTGTGAGGGCAACGTGGCTGTGAGGGGAACGGGGGGCAGCGAGGCTGAGGGGAGCGCAGGGAGATGGACTGTGAGGGGAACCGGGGGCAGTGGAGGCTGTGAGGAGAACAGGGTGGATGAGGACTGTGAGGCGAGCAGAGGGAGCAGGGCGGTGAGGGTAGTGCCGGGGGCGGGTGGATCAGGTCATGGGCGAGCCTCGGCGTGATCAGGGCTGTGAGGGAGGCACCGAGGAAAGAGGCGCTGAGGGGAATGCTGTGGGGATTGAGGCTGTGAGAACCCAGCCAGCTGTGGGCAGCCGTGAGGGAGGAGGTTTGAGACATACTGGGGAGGATCAGGCCCATGCAGGGGCCAGGGGCCTCGTGATGGCCCGTCAGAGCCTTGTTGACACTTGTCACGCAGGTGGCCGGCCTGGGAAACTATGGGTTGTGGGGCACACGGCACAGTGTGGGCATGGAGGTGCTGGATCGGCTGGCCCGGCAGCTGGCGGTGGCCGAGGGCTGGCGAGTGGACAAGCGATGCTGTGCTGATGTGACCCTGGCCACAGCCCACGGCCTGGAGCTGGTGCTGCTCAAGCCACGGCGGTTCATGAACCTCAATGGGCTCAGCGTCGCCAGTGCTGGTGAGCAACTGGGTCAGCCCCAAAGCCTCTAGTGTCACCAACCCCCTGTGACAGCCTTGCTGTCTCCCTGCCCTCCACTACAGCCCCACTCTGCAGAGTCAGGGCCTGGTGAGTCCGTCTCCCCCTAATTTCTTAGGTTGTGTTTCTGTTTCCAAAGCTGAGATCTACAGCCTTGGCCCTGGAGACATTTACCTGGTTCATGATGACCTGGACAAGGCCCTGGGCAAGGTGGCAATCAAGCTGGGAGGCAGTGCAAGGTATGGGGTAGCCCCAGCTCTCTGATTGTGTGAGCTGGTTTGAGGCTTTAGCATACCTATACAGGCTCATGGGCTGTTCTTGGCCCCATCCCAACAGCCTTGCAATGTTTCAGCTCTTGTCCTGAGCTCAATCCATTGCAGAGGCAACAGCTGGCTGCTTGGGCAGCCTCCCAGTTCTGCCCTGGCAGGGAGGGCAGGGAGCCTCCTGGAAGCGGCTGTGGGCTGGATTCAGCCCATAGACAGCACCACATGGGCTTTTTATAGCACTCTTCCTCCACCGTGCCTGCCCAGCACCAGCTCCTGGGGCAGGCTGCAAGCATTTAACCTAAGAAAGCTTCCACTGCGGGACGGGGCAGGTATGGTGCTGGGCCCCAGTGCTCAGTCACACATACACCTGCTGCAGCAAGAGCCGACACACACACAGAATGTGCTGTCCCAGCCCTGCTTCCCTCAAATCCCAGCTGACTGCTCTGAGCCCCCTGGGCTGCATGTTCCTGCAGAACCAGGACATGGGGACTGCAGCCCTTGGCTGGGACCACATTCCCACATTCCTGCAGCAGGAGACCCCAGAGCTACACAGAGAGGTCTCTTACAGGCTAACTCTGGGTTTTCTCTTTCTCTCCCAAGGGGACACAACGGGGTCCAATCCTGCATCAGTGCTTTGCACTCCAATGTGAGTGGGCCTCAGTGGAAGGGGATCAGTCCTGTGCTCCCCTTAATGCATGGCTTTTTCCCCCACTCCCATTTTTCTGATGCCCCTCAGAAAAGCCCCTGCTCCCTTCCTCCCTTTTCTCCTTCCCCTTCTTTCTGGAGGGCTGTTGTCTGTTTGGCTGCCATGGAGGATATGGAAACAATTAGTTTGAGTGGCTCTGCCAGGCCTGGCAGGAGTCTGGGATCTTGACACAGCCCAGAAAAAGCCTCTTCCAAAATTATGTTTCTTGGCGCAAGCACTCAAAACCACCTGGAAAACATGAGGAGCTGCTCCCTTGCTGCCCAGCTCCACTCTCAGCACTGTCACCTTGCCTAGCTCTGTCTGAACACTTGAGGGGACGCTCCCCCAGCTCTCTTCCTTCCTCCCCAGGAGATGACCCGGCTCAGGATCGGCATCGGGCGGCCAGAGGGTGATGTGACAGTGCCCAACTACGTCCTGTCTCCGTTCAGTGCTGGGGAGCGGGAGAAGCTGGAGCACATCCTGGCCCAGGCAGTGACCTGCCTGCTGGAGCACATCCAGAGCCGCGCACCTACAGAGCCTGGGGACAGGGGCTGACACAAAACCCCGGAGATCCTTGTGGCTGATGGAAAGGTGGTACGGGCTCTCCAGAGTGACCATGGTGCAGAGCAGAGCTGGCCCAGCCTGGCTGGGTGCTGGGGCTGGGTGCTGGTATGGAGCAGAGGCTCCATACCTCAGTTTGGCACAGAAATTAAATAAACCCTCACCCTGGATCTGCCCTGCTCCTTCCTCTCTTCCGTGCGCCACCTGCCGAGCTTGGGTCGTCCTTGGCACTGCAGCTCAAATCTGTGTTCCCATCCCTGTTCAGCACAGTCTGGAGGGAGGCTTCTACTGAGAAATGGGGAGCAATAGGAACTACTTCTGTAGAGGCCAAAGGCACGTCAGCTTTGTTAAGAAGCTGGCAAGCATGAAGAGCCTGGAATCTCGTAGCATGCTGCTCCCACTAAGTTGCTGCAAGTTTCAGGGCTGGCCTCACAGTGTTTTTTTGAGTTCAGTGGTTTTGGCTAAAACCGTGGAGTTTCCAACAGCTGCAGGAGTTCTGGCTTCCCACAGACCCATTGCAGGTCTCGTGGTAGAGAGGGCAAACTGAGGCAGTGTGTCCTCACCACTGCTGTCCCATGTGCCAGCATGTCCTGCCCAGCTCTGTATCCCACGAATACTGGGACGCCCAGCAAAGGCAGCTCCTCTCCTGCATCCCAGCAGGCACTGGAACAAGCACTGGGACACTTGCTGGCTGATGTATACCACAATGTTGCAAGCGCTTCCATCCTCTGCTCCAACTGGCACCAGACCTTCTCCTCCATCCCCAGCTCCTGAGGAGCACTGAGGCTGCTTAGGACTTTAGGAAAAGCTGGGAAGCAAAAGTGTCCCCAACCTGTCATCCCTTCCTCACCTATGTCCATACTGGCTGGGACCCTGCACTTGCAAAACAGGCACTTGGGATTTCCTTCTCCCTGTTCTCCAGGAGATCCACTCGGATCTTCAGGTCCTGTATGATCTGGATCTGGTTGTTTTCCTTCAGGAGGTCCCTGCTGTAGCTGTTCAACCTGCCCCAAATTAGGCTTTCCTGAATCACTTGATAGTCTCAGACTCCAGACAATGAGTGGTCTCATTGTGGGTATCTGCTGCCAAGGCCTCCACCTGCTGCTCCATCACCTCCATTTCCAGGAGAGAGCTGAGCTCCATGAAAATGCCACCCACCTTTCCTACCTAGACCCCAAGGATGAGCTTCAATCTTCCTCTCCACCCCACCTCTCTCCTTCCCCTCTTTCCCCCCAACAGATTTCATTCCCAAAGTTCCCAGCTGAGGGAACTGCCAGACCCTCACCCCTGCAGCACTGAGGTGACCCCAGTGGGGTATTGCCCTGGGAATTTGGGGCAATGCCAGCACCCAGCACTTCAGCTCAGTCTGCTTTAATCCTCCCTGGGCTTCCACCCAGGCACAGCATGAGGGACAAGTCCAGTCAGTGGCAGGAGGCCACCACAGGTGCCAGCCCAAAGTCCACTCCCCAAAGTCCAGGCTGGTGGGAGATGGCAGAGTTGGCATCGCTTGGGACTGTCCTGGAGATGTGTCCTCAGCAGAGACAGAGCACAGCGCTCCTCTGGTCTCTCCCCTTGGCAGGGAAAGGCTTTCCTGAGGCAAATCCTGCTTTGGGTGGATTCGTCGCATGCAGATTCAAAGAACCGTGAGGGCCTCTGTCCAGGGCAGCTGCAGCTCCTGAGTGGGAGTGGGCAGTGTAAGGTCCTTGCCCACAGTGCTCCCAGCTGGATCACACTCGCTATCCCTAGGAGGCATGGATGGATACAGACATTAGTGGTCATGGCAGGAGCAGCCCCGACACGTTCACGCCTGCAGCCGAGGCAGTGGGAGGGCTATTTTCCAGCCTCCCCCGGTCTGGCAGCTCCCAGGGCAGTTCTGCTGCCAGGACAAGCAACCTCAGTCAGGGAAAGTCTGACCCAGCATTAACTGTGTCTATGCTGCCCTGGGGCTGAGCCAGTGTGGGTCGCCTGCCTGCTTGCCTGCATGGCCACCCCACAGATGCACAGCCCCAAAGAGACCTGCTTCTGAGGGGAGCAAACAGTGTTGGGATGAAACGTTTCCCTGGAAGATGCTCCAGCTCTTTTCATACTGAGGAGACTTCTGCAGCAGGCAAAGGAGCATTCTTCCTTCCTCACCTGAGTGGCTGGGGAGCAGCATGGACTCAGAAATGGAGGGCCCTGTCCCCATGTCTCCTCCAGCCCAGTGTAGCCCCACATGGGACATCTGTGTCCCCACCCCTTTTCCCACCTGGCAGAGACAGTCTGGTCTCTGTTTCTCAATGCTCCGACGGGGAGAGCTGCTGCTCCATGACAAAAACAAGCTAGGCATGTGGGACACATCTGAATGTGGCACTTGCAGAGAAATGTTCCCCAGCTGTTCCGTCCCCTGTGCCTGTGCCTCACAGCCTTGCTCACCATCAGAGCTCATCACGGGCTGTGGAGCGGAGGTGGCCAGTACTGTCCCGTGAGTCCCTCAGAGTCTTCTGTGAGCCAACCCAGTCAGTCTTCTTGGCATCATCATCCCAGATGGTGGAAGTCTCGGTGTCACTCAGCCAGTTGCTGTCCCCAGCATAGTGAGTGGGATAAACCAGGAGGGGGTGCGCCGAAAACACCAGCAAGTCCCGTGGGGAGAAGTGTCGCTTGTAATCCTCGCTGGGGAAAGCAAACCAGAGAGGAGAAACTGGCTTACAGAGCATGGCACAGAGAAGAAAAAGCACTGGGAAAAGTATAACCACTCAGGGAATGCTCCATGCAGGGCAGGGGATAGTTAGGGATGTGAGGCATGACCAGGCATGGAGCCGGGGAAGGCTGGGACTGTGGAGGGATTACAGAGAGGACAGGACCTGTCGCTCCCCTCCAGCTGAGGCCGGCTCTTGGCACAGAGTGGGTCTCTGGCACAGCATCCAGCTGGCCCTGAGACAGGGATGTCTGGTGCTGTTATGCCTGCAAGCAGGGGGCTTCCAGCTGCTCCTGGTGCACATCCAGATCACTAATGTGTCCCTCTGTCCACCTCCAGCCTGTCTTTTACATGCCTGATCCTTATGTTTCTCCAACCCGATCACTGGGTTTCCCAGTTCCTTCTCTCCCAGGACACCCACCCACTGGTGCTCACTCACCCCCTAAATTGCCTCCCCCTCCCCAGACAAAGCCTTACTGCTGACTTCCACCCCAGAGAGGGGCATGAAAGTGCTCCAAACTGGGGCTGAGACCCACAACCAGGGGTAGGGGACTACACAGCCCCCCAGCACCAGGGTACAGGGGGCTGCTCCCCGCCCCTTGCCACAGGGCCAAGACCCTGTGCAGGGCCCACATCAAGGCCCAGCTCCATTCCTGTTCCCCCACCCCATGCTGGCAGAGGGCCATTTTCCAGTGGCCAGTGGCCAGGCAGCAGCCGGCTGAGAATGAGCTCATTCTACAGATGTTTTCCTCCAGCATGAGTAACGCCTGCAAGGGGGGGAGCGGGGTGAGGTGGTGACGGCAGAGAAGAAACACATTGTCCCACACTGGCATGGCCAGGCCAGCACCCTCCTGCACAACCTGCTCCTTACTTGGGATGCTTGTCATACATGATGGGCAGATACTCATCCACTGGCAGCATTTTGGAGAGGGGTTTGGTGGCCAGCAGCTTCTGTGCCCCATGGTGGGAGATGGCGTAGGCCAGTGTCCAGTACGAGTACCCGGCCACCACCAGGTTCCGCACGCCTTTCACAGGTGCCTCATCCTCGTCGTTCACCTGTTTCCTCCCCAGGTAGCTGTGGGGTGGCCAGGGAACCATGAGAGCCAGCACTGGGAACCCTCACCCCACATCCCCCTGGCGCCAGCACCTACATGAGGTCCCAGTCCTGCTGTGCCTGCTCCAGCTCCTCCATTAGCCGCTGCAGCCGTGCTGGGAAGGCAGCCTCGAAGCGCACATCATCCTCGAAGACCACTGATCGCTCCAACCCCCGGGACACGATCTGGAGGAGGGGACAGAGGTGCAAGCCTATCCCAGCACCACTCTGGGCCATACTGGGGCCACTGACCCTGCAGGACACCCCTTCACCCCAGGTCCTCCTGACAATTGTGATGTTCGCAGGGTCCCTCCCCACTGCTGGTGGCCCTTAGGGACCCCATGGCCGCTGTGGCTCCATACCTCCTTCCAGACATTGTAGTGGCTGAGGAAGCAGCCGACCTCACCCTTGGTGAGCGTGCGGCCAGAGAAGGGATCATAGTACCCGGGTAGCAGGTCCACTCCCAGTACTTTGATGTCACTGCTGTTGAGGGTGCTGCAAGGCGAGGGGCTGCATCAGCAAGGTGTCTCCCCAGACACTCCCTGTCCCCTCCCCAGGGTGACACCAGGAGACTGGCTGAGTGTCCCCCCATGGTCACCTGCCATCCACAGCATCCACCACCCGTGGAACAATCTCCAGCTCCTGCAGGGATGCCAGCATTCGCTGCCGCCGGTCTGGCCTGCGCACCAGGTTGATTAGAAAGATCTGGGGAGGAAGAGGAGAGCCCCAACAATGGAGCGTGTTGTCATGGGGGACACACAGCGTGCCTAGCTACTGCAGGATGGGGACAGGGGCTCGGGATTTGCCATAGATGGATGCAGAGAGAGGGACACAACCAAAGGGATGGACAGAGAGACATGAGTGGCTCCACTGGGCACTTACTTCATCAAAGCCCATTTTTGTGAGTGGCCTGGGCAGGAGAGAAATGTGCCTGGAGCGCTGCATGGGGGGACCATCCACTGTGGAGAGAGGAGACACTCTTCAGAGGAACCCAGATTCCCCTGGCTGGGAGCTGGGGCTGACAGCCCTGTCAGGACCTGGAGGCCTCCAGGATCTCTCCACCCATGGGCACTCACCCATGGCTTCCAGCGTGAGATGCACAAAGTTGGCATGATCATCCTCCAGCGTCTGGTGAGCTTTCACAGGAACATTGATGTAACCAAAGCGGTGCTGGTTGCACACATGGACCTCCACACCTGCCAGGTGAGACAGGTGAGCAGCACAGCCCCTCCAAGCCCCTTCACCTCCCAAAACCCCATCACTCTCACCAGCCTCCTGGCAGGAGTAGGCAAAGACAATGATATCATCGAAGGCCCAG